CGGTACTACTACGTCAAAGCCATACACCATGGATTTAGCCAATCATATATCAAATCGAACTGCATCAACTCAACCTACTCGAACTAAAACCAAGTCTATTGAGACGGGACAGCGAATTGCCAGTTACATGAATTGAACGCCGGAAATTGACCAAACAAGTGAAAAATGGAATACCTTCACTGATACTATACACTCACAACGACGGTATTTTTGCGAAGTTGGTGACTATAATTTGGCTGGAAACATCATTACAGATTTAAAAAGTGCTGCGCACGCAGTTGCGCTTTGTCCCAACACCGACAGCGTGGGTTCGACAAAACCGATGGAGCCGTCGTGATCGGGTGATACTGTCCCACGCGAGATAAACAGGAGCTGCGCGTGTAGATCTCCCGATCAGCAGCACTTGAGAGAGGTAGGGTGTTAAGAAAAAAGGATAAATACACATTCCTACTTTTTTTTGAATGAATGCCTTATCACCTTTGAAAATCCAGTGCCTTTGAAACGCATCAATGGAGCAACTACTCTGCATAATCAGATCTGGATTAATAGCAACTGAATCGGCATAATTACTAGGATGCCTACAGGATATCGTGCTAAATACTTGGCATGTCAATGATGATAAAGCCAAAATTTCACATGTAACAAGGCTTGAGGACTCCTGAAGCTCTTACCACATCGCCCAGTCATATTTGCCATTGGCATTTTGCCAACCTACTCGACCAAAGTTGAAAGAGGCAGGTAGTCCTACGCTCTCGGTAGTCGACCATGGACCGACCTCGTCGACATGAATCTGTTGCATTCGGAACAAAAACACATCTACAACTTCAAAACGACGACAAACTGAGATTCCTACATTCTACTGTCTATTCTAGTCGCACGATGTCGTTGTGAACATCAAAACTTATCATGCACTATCATATTATGATAACGCAGATGGCGGTAATGACTCGTGTGTACTGTACAGTACCCACTTCGAAGGAACATAAATCAGTATTGTTCATCCCCCGCATTTTTTTTATGAATATATATAAAAACAGTTTACACAACATTCAAAGACTCAATGGATTTTGCTGTCTTTCAAGGATAAAGACAAAGCACAAGGATTCCTTGGGCCTTGTCAATTCTGGAAAATTCACTATCAATGTAGGACTTGTGAGCACTATTGAGAGGCTGATGTACCGTATCCAGATTTCCAATCACACCTTGCAATGTTCGGCATGCTCTTAGAGCATAACAACTAGTGTACCGCAAAGCGAAAACTCATCTGTCCAAATTTTCAAAGCCTGGAGAGTAATCGCTACAAGAGGACTGCTTATGCTCCGTCGTGCAGCTTGTTCACATCACAAAAGCCAGCACTTTGTTGAAGTACCAATTCGTAGGTACTGAGCTTTTTACGAGATTGTTTACGTCTCGTGTAATTACGCCGTATCCCGTAGAATATCGACAGGTTAGGATTGATTGTTGGTAGAATACCTGGTAGAATAGCCTCACTTTCCTTTTGGTAAAGCCACTGAAGAGGCCCCGGCAGGGGCCGAAACGCGTATGGCACGCGACCAACATGGATTGTCATTTCACCTACGTTTCCTCGCTTTAACACACTTGAAGGAAAAATCGCGAGT